ATAAAATGTAATTAATAAATGAATATGGGGCCAGGTACAGTGGCCTGCATCTATAATCCCAGGATTTTGGGAGGCCAAGGTAGGAGGCTCACTTGAGGCCAGGGTTTCAAGACCAGCCTGGGCAACATAGCAAGACCCCCATTTCTACAAAAAAAAAATTCTAAAATTAGCCAGGCATGGTGGTAGACACCTGTAGTCCCAGCTACTTGGGAAGGCGAGACTGGATTGCCTGAGCCCAGAAGTTTCAGGTTATAGTGAGCTGTGATTGTGCCACTGCACTCCAGCCTGAACAACAAAGTGAGACCCCAACTCTAAAAGTGAAATTAAATTAAATTAAAAATAAGTAAATAAATATGGGTTATGTTGTGAAGCATAGAGGGAGGGACCAGGAGGGACAATTTGGGCCACTTCTCTGGCCCCAATTTCTAATGTTCTTGCTAAAATGCAGGGCATCTGGTTATCCCAAACCAGTTATTTTTCTAATTGCATTTTAGGTTTTGGGGTTCATGTGAAGAACATGTAAGTTTTTTACATAGGTACACATAGCAGTGTGGTTTGCTGCCTTCCTCCCCATCACCTATATCTGGCATTTCTCCCCATGTTATCCCTCCACAACTCCCCAACCCCTGCTGTCCCTCCCCTCTTTCCCCACTACAGACCCCAGTGTGTGATGCTCCCCTCTCTGTGCCCATGTGTTCTCATTGTTCAACACTCACCTATGAGTAAGAACATGCAGTGTTTGATTTTCTGTTCTTGTGTCAGTTTGCTGAGAATGATGGTTTCCAGGTTCATCCATGTCCCTACAAAGGACACAAACTCATTGTTTTTTATGGCTGCATAGTATTCCATGGTATATATGTGCCACATTTTCCTTGTCCAGTCTGTCATCGATGGGCATTTGGGTTGGTTCCAAGTCTTTGCTATTGAAAACAGTGCCACAATGAACATTTGTGTGCATGTGTTCTTATACTAGAATGGTTTATAATCCTTTGGATACATACCCAGTAATGGGATTGCTGGGTCAAATGGAATTTCTGTTTCAAGGTCCTTGAGGATTCGCCACACTGTCTTCCACAATGGTTGAACTAATTTACACTCCCACCAACAGTGTAAAAGTGTTCCTATTTCTCCACATCCTCTCCAGCATCTGTTGTCTCCAGATTTTTTAATGATCGCCATTCTAATTGGCATGAGATGGTATCTCAGTGTAGTTTTGGTTTGCATTTCTCTAATGACCAGTGATGATGAGCACTTTTTCATATGTTTGTTGGCCTCGTATATTTCTTCTTTTGAAAAGTGTCTGTTCGTATCCTTTGCTCACTTTTGAATGGGCTTGTTTTTTTTTTTCTTGTAAATCTGTTTTAGTTCTTTGTAGATTCTGGATATTAGCCCTTTGTCAGATGAGTAGATTGCAAAAATTTTTTCCCATTCTGTTGATTGCTGATTCACTCTAGTGACTGTTTCTTTTGCTGTGCAGAAGCTGTGGAGTTGATTAGGTCCCATTTGTCTATTTTGGCTTTTGTTGACAATGCTTTTGGTGTTTTGGTCATGAAGTCCTTGCCTATGCCTATGTCCTGAATGGTTTTGCCTAGATTTTCGTCTAGGGTTTTTATGGGGTGTTAGGTCTTATGTTGAATTCTTTAATCCATCTGGAGTTAATTTTAGTGTAAGGTGTCAGGAAGGAGTCCAGTTTCTGCTTTCTGAACATGGCTAGCCAGATTTCCCAACACCATTTATTAAACAGGGAATCCTTTCCCCATTGCTTGTTTTTGTGAGGTTTGTCAAAGATCAGATGGCTGTAGATATGTGGCATTGCCTCTGAGGCCTCTGTTCTGTTTCATTGGTCTATATCTCTGTTTTGTACAAGTACCATGCTGTTTTGATTACTGTAGCCTTGTAGTATAGTTTGAAGTCAGGTAGTTTGATGCCGCCAGCTTTGTTCTTTTTGCTTAGAATTGGCTTTGTGGGCTCTCTTTTGGTTCCATATGAAGTTTAAGGTGGTTTTTTCCCAGTTCTGTGAAGAAGGTCATCAGTAGCTTGATGGGGATAGTGTTGAATCTGCAAATTACTTTGGGCAGTATGGCCATTGTCACCGTATTGATTCTTCATAACTATGAACATGGAATGTTTTTCCATATGTTTGTGTCCTCTCTGATTTTGTTGAGCAGTGGTTTGTAGTTCTCCTTGAAGAGGTCCTTTACATTATTTGTTAGTTGTATTCCTGAGTATTTTATTCTCTTTGTAGCAATTGTGAATGGCAGTTTGTTTTTGATTTGGCTCTCTTTGAGTCTGTTATTGGTGTATAGGAATGCTTGTGGATTTTGCACATTGATTTTGAATCCTGAGACTTTGCTGAAGTTGCTATCAGTTTCAGGAGATTTGCTGAGATGATGGGGTCTTCTAAATATACAATCATGTCATCTGCAAATAGAAACAATTTGACTTCCTCCTTTCCTAATTGAATACCCTTTATTTCTTTTTCTTGCCTGATTGCTCTGGCTAGAACTTCCAGTACTATATTGAATAGGAGTGGTGAGAGAGGGCATTCTTGTCTAGTGCCAGATTTCAAAGGGAATGATTCCAGTTTTGCCCATTCAGTATGATATTGGCTGTTGGTTTGTCATAAATAGCTTTTATTATTTTGAGATATGTTCCATCAATACCTAGTTTATAGAGGGTTTTTAGCATAAAAGGCTGTTGAATTTTGTCAAAAGCCTTCTCTGCGTCTATTGAGATAATCATGTGGTTTTTGTCTTTGGTTCTGTTTATGTGGTGAATTATGTTTATAGACTTGCAAATGTTGAACCAGCCTTGCATCCCCAGGATGAAGCCTACTTGATCATGGCAGATAAGCTTCTTGATGTGCTGTTGCAGTCGGTTTGCCAGTATTTTATGAAGATTTTTGCATCTGTGTTCATCATGGATATAGACCTGAAGTTTTCTTTTCTTGTTGAGTCTCTGCCAGGTTTTAGTATCAGGATGATGTTGATCTCATAACATGATTTGGGAAGGATTCCATCTTTTTGGATTGTTTGGAGTAGTTTCAGAAGGAATGGTACTGATAAAAATATATTTTAATTGCATTTACATTTCCAACTTGTGACACTGATACAGCATTTACCTCCCACTTATACAGCATTAACATTTATTATTTTCTCTACTCAACTACCCAGATGGTGTGTTTTCCTTATTTCTGAGCCTGGCTTGAGTTCTGGGCTTAGTGTTAAGGATAGCTCATCTATGAGAGGTATTCATAACATTTTGAGAAATGGAAGGCAAGACAGATACAACTTCTGGATGGGAAGGATGAAGACAGTTTGAGAAGGATGAAAGTTAGCAAGGGTAGGGACAGGACACTCTAGGGCAGTTGGAGAAGGGAAAGCAAAGGATGCTCAGAGGGACAGTCTACTACTCTTGACAGCAGAGGATATGGAGAAGGATGGTAGATTGAGTCAATCAATTTATGTGTTGCAGTGGTGGTTGGAGAAGATGGCCAGGTGGGAAACAATTCTCATTTTTAACAAGGGAGTTGGCATAGGAGAAAAAGTTGTGGTGAGGTCAAGGGAGGAAGGACAAAGAGTTAGTTGTCTCAGGTCGGTAATGGATGAGCAGAGATAGGTGTAAGTTAGTTCCAGGGTAGGATATAATAGGTTTTCAGAATAATGCTCCCCTTTGATCTCTTACTTACCACCCCAGACCCCTGCAACCAGTTTTTATCAGTGTTGATTTCTATCCTGTCATATTGGAAATGTTTAATAAGTGCAGACTAAATATAGCAGAGCACATTTTCCCTTTTCTTACCAAACCTCTGGTTCTCCTCAACATTTAGTACTGTGTTCTGTCACCACCATTTATTGAACAGTTCTTCATTCTAGTTCACTCCCATAGGAATGACTTTAAGACCGCTGAGTCTGGGAAAATACTCTGTTCAAATATTTTGTCCATTTTCTTATTGAGGATTTGCTTTCTTATTACTGAGTTTTCATAGTTCTTTATATTCTGGTTTTCCTTGTTTTGTTTTGTTAATAGAGTTGGGGTCCCACTATGTTGCCCAGGCTGGTCTCAAACTCCTGGGCTCAAATGACCCTCTCCCCTTGGCCTCCAAAAGTGCTGTTACTACAGGCATAAGCCACCGTGCCCAGCCAGTTCTTTACATTCTGGATTTCAGTCCACTTGCAAATATTTTCTCCCTATCTGTAGCTTGTCTTTTAATAGTCTCTTTTGAAGAGAAGTTTTAAATGTTGGTAAAGTCCATTTATCAGTGCTGTTGTTTTATGAATTTTTTTAATGTTATATCAAAAAATTCTTTGCATAACTCAGCGTCACAATTTTCTCCCTTTTTAATAGAAGTTTTAGGAGTTACATTTAGATCTATGATGCATTTAGATTTAATTTATTTCCATGATGTAAGGTATGAGTGCAAGCTTTTTTTGTTTGTTTGTTTTGTCATATGGATACCTAGTTGTTTTGGCACATTTTGTATAAAAGGCTATGCTTTCTCCACTGAATTGTCTTTACACATTGGTCAAAAATCAGTTGCTCATCTATGTGTGAATCTGTTTCTATGCTCTCTTATTAAGTTCCTTTAACCTATTTGTGTATGTGTAGGCTCATTGTTTTTTAGATGAAATAACTGGAATCACCCTTTCCTCAGCTTTAGCTTATGATTAGTGGATTACTTATATATAAAACTTAAATTTTTGAGCCAAGAATTATGACTGAACCAAAGTAGAGAAAAGGAGTAAGTTGTAAAACTTTCAAAAACAACAAAAGAGGTTTATAAAGAATTTATCACCATCAAAAATAGAACGATTGTCTAAGGTCAAATTAAAATCATTTAAAATATTATGCCTTTTTAGTTGTATGTAGAAGCAGTTTTACATTCATAGTAATAATATATAACTAAGCATGTCCATTTCCATACATTTTAATTTTTAGGATTTCACATCTGTTTTATATCAAAACATTTTATCTATTTTGTTTGTTCCTTTATTCTACAGGATTAAGTTTGCAGCATGATATAGCCAGTTCTCATCTGAACAATTCAGTCACAGACTCTTACACAGAATACCAGAGTTTTGAAGAGAACTTCCCATCACCTGAACTGTTCAGAAAATCAGATTATTTAGGTAAGAAAGTAATTCCAACCTTAAATTGCTCTACTATAAAAATTATTCCTTTGTCCACAAATCCTCCAATGAATAAATGTCCCTTAAAGAAGGCATACTCTTCTTCCTCACCAACACCTCACTTCCTTGACCATTGCCCATTGTATTTCATTCCCAGTCACACAGTAGAGCAAAAGTAGATCAAGGAAGGATGAAGTAATGTCATTTAGCATTTATATGTAATGCACATCCAATTATTAATGAATTTTGCACCTAATGAATGTATACTTGTTCTCTTGAACCATGGGTTATCTTTTTTTTCCTGCACTTCTCTTTATTTTCAGCAAGTAACTTAAATGTTGGCTAGGCCAAGTCCCTGCTTGAATTTTCTCAACAAATTAAGAGTTATTTACATTTATTATATATATAAATGCAGCCTTAGGTTAATGATGGCAGATCAAATACATGCCTTACTCTACCATCTTGCAATGGCAGAAAACAGCTTTTTCTTTAAAGTAATACATTCATAAGGACAAAGATAATTGGGAAAAAAGGTACAAAGTTTGGAAAGTTAGAGATCAGATGGTTTGATACAGCAGACCTAAGAAATCGGAGTCCTAAACCAACAATGTGAATACCCTAGAAACAGCCAATTTGCACTATGGTGTCACAGAAAAGCTCATAATTTGGTTGTTCCAAATACTTATAAATAGATGTCAAAGACATGAAAGATGTGATGAACTGCTTGTTTACTGCTCAAAGGGAGCAAGGAGTTTTATTCTTTAGAATGTTTTAAAACAGAGACTCTAGACCAGAGAATACTAGGTACTGTTAATAGCAGGGATACTGTGGTATTTTGAAATGTCAGTCCCAGTTATTCATTTCTCTGTAGTATTGTATTCATACCCTCATAATGGGTGGAGTATTCTTTTCCACTCTTTGGCTTTGGGATTGGCCACATCACTTGCTTTCAGCAACAAACCAAATTTAAGAAAAGCTTTGAAATTGCTTAAATGATTGGGCCTGTATTCTTACACTTTTGCCATTATCATGAGAATGTATCCTAATTAGCTGCTGCCTCTCTTGTGGAACCCCAGAATGAGAGTTACAGAGTAGAGCAGCCCAGGCAATCCACTCACTGCAGAGAACTGCCCCAGCTCATCTGCAGAACTGTAATCTGAGTTACCTGAGCCAATAGACATGGGAACAAGAAATAAATGCTTTTCACTTTGTGCCACTGAGATTCTGTGGTTGTTTATTATACTACCAAAGCTGACTGCTGCAGATAATGTACTGAATGTTGGAGAGGGAATTAAGTAAAAGTGTACATCCTAAATTATGGGATCTGCTCACCCAATGCTTATTTCCACCCTACCCCAGCAGCCCATTTCTCTGTCAGTTTTCCAGACTTGAACCTTCTGTTGAGAAAATGGAAGATTATTTTCTCAGGAACTGATTACCTCAGAAGAAAATATCTAAAATACTGACCTCAGGAGTGCTCAGTGAAACTGACCAGACAGAAGACCCTACAGTGAAGCCAGCTGTGTAACAAGCACTGCCTAGGCCATAAGGATACCACTTAGCCTTTTAGGACCCACTTTTAAATATGAACAGAGAGCCAAGGATCACCAGATTTCTGAGGAAAGCCTCTAACATTAAAAAGAAATATCAAAACAAAACAAAATGTGGGAATGGTGTCAGCAAGATGTTGAAACAGGAAGCTGTGGACCTGCCTGCTCCTTATGGACACACCAATTCAACAGCAATACATGGACCAACTTCCTTTGAGAGAAATTCAGAAAACAGTTGACAGGTTCTTGCACCCTGGCAAGCATGGGGCCAGCCACATCAAAGCCAGTAGGAAAATTTGAGACATCCTCACCATAATTCCTACTCCTAGCACAGCACCATATAATTGTAAGGAAACCCATACCACAGCTTTCAGCTTCTCCCTGAGGGGAAGAGCAGAATAAGGGACTGGATGATACATCCAGTGTTCTAAATTCTCTGAGGAATGCCTGAGGCAACTGACTTCTGTCTTGACAGTCTTAGAGCGCTGATGGGAACCAACATGTCCAAGGTGCCTGGTGACTGCCGAGAACAAAGATAACAATTTGGTCTAGGACACAAACATTTGCCGTAGGCCCTCCACCTAGCTCCGTGCAGAGTCAGTGGGGAAAAAACGCAGATTCTAGCTTCAACCTGGGGAGAGAAAGAGTTGAACTCTGTGTTCAGTATTCTAACTTTTCAAGAGATGTTCTTTGCACTAGCTTCTGTCACACCTGTTTTAGAATGTAGACAGGATCTGTCATGTTCTAAATGCCTGAAGGCTAACAAGAACAAAGATGATGGTCTGGACTAGCACAGAGATTTGAGAGATCTCTGGATAGGCTTATATTGGTAAGGGTCTTCTGTATAATGCCAGTCTTCAAGACTGGGAGAAGTGGCTGTTTTGTCTAATGCATAGATACTGATACCAAGAGTCAAGGAAAATTAAGAAGCAGGGAAATGTAGTCTAAACAAAGGAATAAGATAAATCCACAGAAGCTGGCCCTAATGAAATGGAGATATACAAATTATCTGATAGCTAATTCAAAATAATCATTAAAAAGATGCTCAACAAGCTGAGAAGAATAATGAATGAACAAAATAAGACTTTCAACAAAAATAAAGTTTTAAAAAGAAAGAAAAAAATAGGAATTTTTGGACCTGAAGAATACTCTCACTGAACTGAGGACAGGCACAGTGGCTCATTCCTGTAATCCCAATGCTTTGGGAGGCTGAGGTGAGAGGATCAATTGAGGCTAGGAGTTTGACATTATAGTGAGCTATGATTATGCGACTGCACTTCAGCCTGGGTGACAAAGCAAGACCTCTCTTAAATAAAAAAAAGATAAAAGAAAACTTCAGTAGAGCAATATAACAGCAGACTAGCTCAGGAAGAATAAAGAATTAGTGAGCTTGAAGACAGCTCATTTTTAAAGACTCCAAAAGCAATTGCAACAAAAACAAAAATTGACAAATGGGACCTAATTAAACTGAAGAGCTTCTGCACAGCAAAATAAACCATCAACATAGTAAACAGACAACCTACAGAATGGGAGAAAGTATTTGCAAACTGTACATCCAACGAAGATCTAATATCCAGAATCTATAAGGAATTTAATCAGAAAGAAAAAACCAATCTCATTAAAAAATGGGCAATGGACATGAATATAAAGAAGACTAAATGAGTATGTCTTCTTCTCATTAGAGAAATGCAGTTCAAAAACCACAATGAGATACCATCTCATACCAGTCAAGGTGGCTATTATTAAAAAGTCAAAAAATAACATGTTTGTGAGATTGTAGAGAAAAGGGAAAGCTTATACGTTGTTGGGGAATTGGAATATATGAGTTCAGCCAATGTGGAAAGAAGTTTGCAGATTTTCTCAAAAAACCTAGAACTGTCATTTGACCCAGCAATCCCATTACTGTGGATATATTTCCAAAGGAATCATTCTATAAAGACACATGAACACATATGTTTGTTGCAGCACTTTCCCAATAGCAAAGACATGGAACCAACTTAAATGCCCATCAGTGGTAGACTGGATAAAGAAAGTGTGGTACGTGTACACCGTAGAATACTACACAGCCATAAAAAAGAATGAAATCATATATTTTGCATCAACATGGATGCAGCTGGAGACTGTTATCCTAAGAAAATTAATGCAGGAACAGAAAACCAAATACTGTATGTTCTCATTTATAAGTGGGAACTAAACATTGAGGACACATGGACACAAAGAAGGGAACAATAGACACTGGGGCTTGCTTGAGGTTGGAGGGTGAGAAGAGGGTGAAGATTGAAAAATACCTATTGGATACTATGCTCACTATCTGAGTGACAAGACCATTTGTACATCAAGCGTCAGTGACACACAGTTTACCCATGTAACAAACCTGCACATGTACCCCCTATATCTAAAATAAAAGTTGGGAGAAAAATAAAGGTCATTTAGCATTATGCCATAGTGAAGAAAAAAGAATGAAAAGATTGAAGATATCCTAAGAGACTTGTGAGCCACTATCAAGCAGACCAATGTTTGTATCATGGGAGTCCCAGAGAAGAAGAGAAAAAGGACTAGAAAGTGTATTCAAAGAAATAGTGGCTAAAAACATCCCAAATCTGGGGAATGAAATGGACATTTAGATCCAGGGAGCCCAGTGGACCCAAGTAAAAGGAACCCAATAAATCCAGACTGAGATACACTATAACTGATTTGTCAAAAGTCATATACAAAGAGAATTTTGAAAGCAACAAGTAAAAAGTGACTCAACATGTACAAGGGAACCCCCATGAAACTATGAGTGGATTTCTCAGCAGAAACCTTATAGATCAGAGAAAATGGGATGATATATTCAAAGTGTTGACAGAAAAATGATCAACCAAGAGCAGTATACCCAGAAAAACTGTCTTTCAAAAATGAAGAGACAAGGAGTTTCCCAGACAGAAAAGCTGAGGGAGTTCACAATGACTAGACCTGATTTACAAGAAATGCTGAAGGGAGTTATTTAAGTTGAAACTCAAGGATGCTAAACAGCAACATGAAAGTATAAAACTCAAGGTAAATATATAGATAAATACAGAATACAGTAATACCGTAAAGATAGTTTACTATTACAATAGTAGGGTAATAGTATACTGTATAGAATACGGTAATATTGTAATAGTAGTATACCAGAATTAAATCACTTTAAATTCTGATTTATGAGTTAAAAGATAAAAATGTTAAAAACTAACTGAAGATGTTAATAATACAACATAAATAAATTGTCATATGAATAAAGTACAGGAGGGGAAAAAGTAAAAGTATAGTTTTTGTATGCAATTGAAATTATCAGCTTAGACTGTCACAACTATATAACATTTTATGTAAGCCCCGTGGTCAAGACAAACAAAATTGCTGTGGAAGACACACAAAAGAAAAAGAAAAGCATTCTCAGTTACATAAAAAACAGTGGAACACAATGGAAGA